CCCCCCAAAAAAAAAAACCCTCGCTACGGCCCTGATTAACAAAGAAACCCCAACCATTAAAATTTGATTCAATTGTTAATAATGATTATTAACAATTTAATCAACGTTTTTTGGTTAGTCGCTAGTCCATGACTGTCTTTTGTATGGTTGGCGTTTGTCTGTGAATATTAATGATATGCATATTATTGTTCTACGCGTACAGAAAAAATTCCTTGTACGTTGCCCTTAAATCTAAAATAAAACATCGGACACAGTCAGTCAATGAGGAATATCGTTTAAAATCATCGTGTCAAAATGTCAAAGGGCGTTGCGCAAAAACGACGACGACGATCTCGTCCGACAGTTCCTGGTCCAGAAATATAAATCACATTACAGAATATATTAATAAAAATATATACAGAAAATTACAACAAGTATGGAATAAGGTAAGAATTTAAAGTACATACTGGCAATGTCATATAACTATGTGAATTAGATATCCCGCGTTGTCTCTGCAATAATATAAATCTCAATCTGGCATCTCATTAACTCAATGGTTGGCTAGTACATTTGGTACAATAAATTAGAAAGGTACGTTATGCTTGAAATCTTGGGTTCGTTTGCGGTTGGGACACTCAGAGATCAAGTTCGACTTCATTTGGATATCTATCTATCAAGCTATTTCTTTCATGTTCTTAGTCATCATCATCGTCCATGTCATCAATTTTAAAACCTTCGTTTAAAATTTCAAGATATTTGTAAGATTGGTACTCATTCTTTATTTTCTTGTAAAGAAAGTAGACAGGCCATCGTTTTTCAAAATCACCGTTTCCCAAATCTTCCCATCCCATTCTTTCTGCAATAAACTGGTTGATTCGACGATTGTGCTTTGGGATGCTAGTGAGCCATGTCTTCAAGTGCGCCATAAAGACAGGGCAGAAGCAATCTTTCGCATGTTGTTCAACCAACATTCTAAATTCTAATTCATCAATACATAAACAAAAGATAGGTTTCTCGTTTTCACAATACTTCATTTTGCGTAACGCAGCTTTAGCTGGATCATGATATTCATCATGCCTTTCTTGAATTCGAGGACAGTAGGATTTCGGCCTAAGGGCTTTACTTTCAGGAAGAAGATCATAGAATCCGGGACAGTTTGTCACATCATAATTAGGAAGCCTTGGAAGTGATTGGTAAGCGAGAACATTTGTTTCTGGCGATGGTGAATGATAGAAATAATTATAGATCATATGAAACTCGGCTTCACGATCTGGGTATTGTAACATAGTCTTTGTATATTCGTCGTCTCTACGATGAGTTTGTTTTGAACGACTTTCATCTGTCAAAGCATGAATACTATCATAAAAATGCGCTAAATATCTTGGTGTAATCCAGTGTTTGTTGGTGCAATTTAAAGGTAAACTTGGTGCAATTTCATGGGCTTTCTTATACACACGATTTAACATGTCCACTCCCATAAGTGCTGCGATATGTAATGGCGACATCCCTTCAAATGTTGAATCACATTGGAAGCTAGACTGGAAAGGTTTGGTTCTCATGAAAAATTTTCTCGATAATTTTTTTAATGTGCGACGTTGATATTTAGGCATACCTAATTTCCCTGGTTTATCATCCAAATTCAACAACATTCGATTCACGTAGTAAATAAAATCTTGGTTGTATGATACATTTGCAATTTTCCAAACACTTTCACCATTGCAATTTTTATCAAGAATACTGGTGTTCCAATTGTTAATTAAATATTTGGCCATATGCCACAATCCATATTTTGCGCAAAGGTGAAGAGCTTTATTCCCACATGGACAAGATGTTTTCTCGCGGTAAAAAGTATACAGAAATTTTTTGGCATAAAAGTATCGAAGACCACTCGCTTGTGAATCGCCGAGGTTCAGTGATACTTTCTCACCACATTTTTCTTCCACATTAGCACCGTTTTGTAACAACATTTCCGCCATTTCAGTGTCATTTCGTTCTATAGCATCCATCAGAGGCGTCTTTCCTGAATGATGTTTACACTCCACCGCCGAGTTTCCAAACTGTAATAAAAGTTTTGTTACGTTGATATGACGCTTCGATACGGCAGCATGTAAAGCAGTTTCACAAAACATGTCATGAAGATCATAAATTGATCTATTTTGATGAGAATGAGACGTATTCATTTGTTTCCATTGCAAACATTCGTCTTTAACACCAGCAGTTTCTAAAAGATACTTCACAACTTGGGAGTTGTTTCTTGCGGCAGCATGGTGAAGGGAGATGATGTCCGCTTTATTACCGCTATTGTATAGCAATTTAACAAGATCTAGGTGTCCTCGTTCTGCTGCGACGTGTAGTAATGTCGGTATATACTCGTTGAATTGAATAAACGACGCATTGTGTTTAAGCAAAGTATAAACCACTTCTGTGTGGCCGTTATAAGTTGCAATATGCATTGTGCTTAATTCTTCGTACCCTTTCATTTGTATAACAGCTTTAATTTCGTCTAATTTGGACACGTCGTTGAGAATGCAATTTGCACATGTCCCTTTATCAAGAAAAGGTTTTACGTTTTCAACTAATCCTTCTGAGGCAGCGTAGAAAGCTGGTGTTTTCCCTTCCAGGTCAGGAATATCGACTGACGTAATGCTGGAAAGAAAAACCTCCAACAATCGGTGACCATTTTCTCTTTGCACAAGCTCATGCAAGATGCATTTACCATTTTGCTGATTGCGAATTTTTGGAACGTTCAAGAGTTTTAGGTGTTCTTTGTGATCATCACTTGGGCCACCAGAGTTCAACACATGCATACATAACCGAGATAGTTCAGTAAATGAAACATTAGGATTAGTTCTTTGACGGTCGACAAGAAAATTAGCAATGTATTTATGACCTCGACTTTTCTGGATTGAAAACCCTTTTACACGGTGGTGGTTGTTCGTCAACCATTCAGCGAAACTCTGATGATAAATGCTTACAGTTTCATCTTGTCCAAAATGTAGTAAACCAGACACACGTTCAACAAGCTCGTCCATTTCTCTACCTTGATTTTCACGAATAAGGATTTCGAAGAATTCTGTTTTGGGTAATGAACCATTTGCCAGAAGAACTTCGAAAAGAATTTCGTAGCCATCAAAATCTTTTTTTATAAAGTATCGTTGAAACAGCTGATAGTACATATCATCCAAACTATTTGGCAATGAATTAAAATTAAACGTACCATCGGCCTCTAGGTTATTCTGCAAGATAGTCTTTACAAACAAGAAATTCCCCTCTGCACGCTTAGTTAACTCGTTAGTTATTTTGTTTATCGAATCTTCCAGAGGAGAAATTGCTTTGTACAGCTTATTAATGAAAGAAAACTTCTTCCTCAAATATTGTGAAATGTAAGAACGAATGTCCTCAATGTTTCGTTCATCGTCAGCATTCAAAGACACTCTCCATACTGCTCGAGGAACTTTTGAAGTTACTGTTGTCCCGTTCCGTGAACTCATTATAATTTTTAACCACGGAGGAAAATATGACATTTTGTAGTGAAGTATGTCCAATATCGCTGACGTTTCTCCGTCCTTCTCGATACATTCATCCAAGGCGTCAATTACAATGTATTTAAAGTTTTCTGGCTTCTTTTTCAATTCTCGTAAAGGTCCAATTACTGCTGTTAAAAAACACGCAGTTGGATCCTGCTCACAATGTTTAACTAGCTTGGTCTGTATGTGTACTTTATTACTTATATGAAGAGCGTACTCGGGAATGTTATTCGCAATCTGATTCACTAAGTTACGAACAAAGCGGGCACCATTCCGTTTTTCCTTTTCTGCATAAACACAGATATGATATCCAATAATGTTGACGTAAATTGCGGAGCTGGAAAAGGATGAACAAATCAACTGTGACATCAGTGCTGATTTTCCAGATCCTGGATCGCCAGTGACGAGAACTCCTACAGGAGCGTCAGCATTTTCAAAGATGTCATCCAGTTCCCTGAAGAACCAACTTCTTCCAAAGAAATTCTCACGTTTGTATGACAAATGAGTAGTAAAGTCAAAATTTTCGTTAAAGCCAAATGTCGATGGTTCAACAGGACGTGAGCAATCTATATTTACCGAAGAAAAATTATCATAACATAACAGGAATAACAGTATGTGTTTAATTATTACTAAGCTCGTTCATAAAAAGCCACAACTAATCCCCAAGCAAACAACGCGAAGGGCGTGGTTTCACCCGGAGAAAGGAAAACATTTAGTGAAGTTTAAAGTTCTGTCATCAATAATTGCGCACATGCAGTTAGCTGTGATTCGTAGGTGTCATCATTTGTGAACCCCCTCACTGATCTCAAAAATATGGCTGTTTGTCAGGAATGGGATAAGCAAGATTTCGATTTAAAAAAACTTATTTGAAAAATCGTTACATACAATCAATCCAACCAAGCAATTTTGCTTTGAGGAAATGAGAAGAAGCTGCAAGTTTCCTGAATTACACTGTTTAGTTTACTTAAGAAAACTTGAAATGTAATTGAAAAGAGAGAAAATTAATTAAAAGCAGTTACCGGCAAATGAAGTTTAGTTGAATGAACATTTCAAAACCAGATGAAATTTTATATTAAATCAAAGCTCACAAAATGCAAAATAACATATAGCCTACATACAGTATATATTTCAGCAATTTGTTATTGTTTAGTTAAAAAATACTTAATCTTTCAACTTTTTTGCAATTTTGTACAAAAAATATTTAAAAAATAAAATATCGTGTTGCTATGGCAACACCTGACGCACAATGGTACTTCATGTTAAATCAATGTTTGAATTGGCAAGTATAAGCGAGGGGTTTAATACAGCATTCGTCTATTTATAGTAGTAATAAAGATGCCGTCTGAACAGGATTTTTGAGGTCAAGTGAGGTTGAGTGAAGTGGAGGTATTATTACCTTTTAAACCGCGTACTAGAAATACAGTCATTGAACTACCCTTCGCCCACATTTTCCAAACATTGTTTCAACATAAAGTATTCTTAATTACCCCAACATTGAATGCAGGCTCGCGTCATGCCGTCATGATAGCTATTGCAACCAATACGATCATTGCTTTTTAAAATTTTTTGTACAAAACGGCAAAAATAATTTCTCTATATAGTTAAAAGTTTTGCACTTCTAACTTTATAACCATAAGCAGCCCAAAAATGCGTGGCATGTACTTTAACACGGAACACTAATCCGGGACACCGGAACAGCCCGGAACACCTCCGGAACAGCACGGAACAGCACGGGACACCTACGGAACAGTCCGGAACACCTACGGAACATGGCGGAACAGCACGGACCAGTCCGGAATACCTCCGGAACAGCCCGGAACACCTACGGAACAGTCCGAAACACCTATGGAACAGCGCGGGACACCTACGGAACAGCACGGAACAGTCTGGAACCCCTACGGAACATGGTGGAACAGCACGGAACAGTCTGGAACACCTCCGGAACAGCACGGAACAGCCCGGAACACCTCCGGAACATGGCGGAACAGCACGGAACAGTCCGGAACACCTCCGGAACAGCACGGAACAGCCCGGAACACCTACGGAACAACCCGGAAAACCTACGGAATAGCCCGGAACACCTACGGAACAGCCCGGAAAACCTCTGGAACAGCCCGGAACACCTCTGGGACACCTCCGGAACAGCCCAGAACAGTCGGGAACATTCCGGAAAACCACTGGAATAGAACGGGACAGTTGGAAACAGCCCGGAAAACAACCGGAATACCTCCGGAGCTGTGGCTTTTTTTAACCATTTAGGAGCAAAATAAGGGCTATCTTTAAAATAGAGAGTGGGGGAATGCGTGAATGGGGGCCGGAATGCTACAATTTCATTAACTTTTGAAACGAATTAAAACGTTTGCCATGAACATCTTTTGTTGTTTCGGAGTATATTCATAACTCGTACTCGTGTATACTGATAAAAAAATTGAAAAGAGGCTAATATCTTAAATTATTATATACACAAGGTCTGGATATGAGATATTCTGCAATCTGATTGGTTCTCTACTAGCAGGATATTAGCTCATATCCTGCTAGTAGAGAAAAACAAAATGGCGGCCAAACTGAATTTACGATGTTTTGCAAACGAGAAAACGGCAAGTTGTCGCTTTTTATTGCCTTCACAGGATTAAAAACACAATGAAAAAACTCCCACAAATTGTTTTCAGGTTAGCAAATAAATTTTTAATATTTAAAATGGTTGAAAATATATATTTTTGAAAAAATAATCGGCCGAAAGAGCGAAGATAAAACATAAACAAAATAGAAAAATATTGAAAATATTCGAAAAGCAAAGTCTGTGAATTCAGACCTTGTGTATATAATAAAACAGTTATTCCACTCACTCTCGTCGAATATGAGCGATAGCCGATTCGGCGCTACGCGCCTCATCGGCTATCAGCTCATATTCGACTCGAGTTCGTAGAATAACTGTTAAATATCCGTTTGTTAAAGAGAATACGTCTGGACTCAAAATTTGATTCACATATTTAACTTAATATAATCTAGTATATACATATTGTATTAACATGTAGTTACACCAAACAAAGTATAACAATAAGTTTTTATCAGGCAATGTACAGTGGAAACCTGAATTAACGTTCATTTTCATATGAAAGCGTCATGCATCCGAGCGAAATATCCGAGTTTCAATGGGAGAGTCCTCTTGGTTCAACCAGAATTCCAACAACTTTTCAAGTTAGAACACGTCCAAAGGCTTGTTGAGGAGTTTGGCTTGGTCCTTTAATTTGGATGAAAAAGGATAGTAGGTGGAACAGTGTTTTCTTCAAACTAACTATACATTTTTGCCGGAGTTTTGTTGCTAAGCACAATTATAGAGCTCAGTATATATATGCTCTAATTGTCAGTGGCCGGTTGCAGAAAATCCGCTTAGCGTTTAGATTATAGTGTAAATATTTTAACTTGAAAAGAACAATTAAAGTTGTTTCATGTGAAGAGTTTAAATTTTGGCGCCTGTGCGAAAATGTAATGTTTTAGAGTACTGATGAGCACTAAGCAATTTGTCCGGCTTTATCGGCGTAGATCATATACTGCATCAAAAATGTTATACCGTAGACTATTTCTCAATTAGGTTTCACATTGACCGCAGACACTGTTAGACTTATACAGGGGCGAAACTAGCCCCTTTTAATTAGGGGGGTGTCTGGCAGAATTGCCCTGCCAAAACCAGTGATGCCTTTCCGGACAACCTATATTTTTCGGAACATAACACAAATTTTCGAAAAATCACACAATTTGCGAAAAAATTCACTTAATTTTAGATAAAATTGACTTAATTTGTCCCATTTTTTTTTTTTCAAACCAAAATTGCCCGACTGTTGATCCAATATTGCCCCCGCCCGGTACGCCTATGTGCTATCATTTATTTATAAGAGACCTTTGATTGCCCTGCCAATCGGGATGATTCGTATTTTGGGGGGTGTAACACCCCCCATACCCCCCCTCAAGTTTCGCCCCTGGACTTATAAGCCCTGTGACCTCAACATGGTGTTATTCTAGAGCGTAATTCGGAATGGTCTATTAGTTTTTGCTCTTAATTCAGGTCTCCACTGTACATATCCTGATAAACGTATTTTTATATTTTGTTTTGTTTAATTATGTTATTACAATACTAACGGATTATTGATCGAGCGTGAGGTCTGCACTGTGAAATATCAGACCGAGGTTTTTTTAGTATGGACCGAGCGACGAAGGAGCGAGGTCCACGCAAAAAACAGAGGTCTGATATTTCATAGTACAGACCGAAAGGCGAGGTCAATAATCGGTTTATTATATGGCTGAACAAGGCTGAACTGAGTGTCTGAGTCTATCAGCATATGCTTTTCGCGCGAATTAAATCGGTTATCGTCAGTTTCACTGGGTAACAATATACGGTAGGCATACATACTCAATCAAAAACAATTTGGTTGTTTGAAATTTTTATCTGTAAATTTTAATGACACACAATTGGAAAATTAAAAAGCAAAAATTTTTTCTGTTTGCAAAGCAAAAATTTCCTGCCAGATAAACGACATCCGGGACACCGGTTCAGATACGGAAAATACGGACCACGGTCCGGATATGGGTTTTTACGGACGGCTTGTCAACCAATCAGAATAGAGAATTTTGAAAAGCCATATAATAATAGATTATATTAAATATATGAAAGCGGCAAAGGCTTGAGTCCTGACGTATTTTTTTAACAAACGTTAGACAGTTGTGAAAATCACTAAAAACACGAGTATAAAAAACATACTCTGAAAAAACAAAAGACGTTCATGGCATAAGTTTTAATGCGTATCATATTAATGTTGTAGCATTCCCCATTCCAGTATTTCCCCATTAATTTAAAGATAGCCCCAAATTCGAGCCCTAATTGGCACTGAAATTGTTAAAAGCCACAGCTACGGAGGTGTTCCGGTGGTTTTCCGGGCCGTTTCCAACTGTTCCGGACTGTTCCCTTCTATTCCGGTGGTGTTCCGGGCTGTTCCGTGCTGTTCCGCAGGCGTTCCGTGCTGTTCCGGAGGTGTTCTGGGCTGTTCCGTGCTGTTCAGCCATGTTCTGTAGGTGTTCCGGACTGTTCCGTGCTGTTCCACAGGTGTTTCGCCATGTTCCGGGCTGTTCCGTAGGTGTTCCGGGCTGTTCCGGAGATGTTCCGGGCTGTTTCGGAGGTGTTCCGGACTGTTCCGTGCTGTTCCGTAGGTGTCCGCGCTGTTCCGTAGGTGTTCCGGGCTGTTCCGTAGGTGTTCCGCGCTGTTCCATAGGTGTTCCGGGCTGTTCCGGGCTGTTCCGTAGGTGTTCCGGGCTGTACCGGAGGTGATCCGTGTTGTTCCGGGCTGTTCCGGTGTTCCGGATTAGTGTTCCTTGTTTTAGTACATGCCAAAATGCGTGCTAAATGTTTTACCCTCGCGCGTGGCACTCGGGCATGCATCGAGTCTACTTTGTTTATTATTATATGGCATAATAATAAACAAAGTAGACTCGCTGCATGCGGCAGCATGCCCGAGCGCCACGCGCGAGGGTAAAAATTTTAACACGTACTTTTGGGCTGCCTATGATATAACTA